AGAAAAGGGAAAGTGAGAAATCACCTACCAGGTGTAATGGCACACTGTAATCCCTTCTCCACTGTTTTCCTCTTGGGGTTTTGAGCATGCATACACAAGAGTCCAGCATGTTTTTCAAGCCAACAGATCCAGGACTTGAACTACATAGTCAGCCACGTGGGATCCAGCACCTAAACCTCCACACAACCTGCTGGCCCAGTAGCAGTTAACTTTTTATTTCTGTCTCTCCTTCCCTCTGTCTCATTCATAGAGGAAGTAAATAAACATTTTAAAAATAATTATTTAATTTTTATTTATTCATTCATTTATTTTAATGTGACCAGAGAGAGACACGGGGGGGGGGGGGGGGTGGGAACAAAAAAACAGCATACACTCAGCATGATTCTCAGGCCACTGGGTCCATGACTCAAACTGTGGTCAGCCATGTGGGAGTGTCCAAGTGGCCTTAACCACCATGCCACCTGCTGGTCCCATAAATAAACATTTTTAAAAACTCAATTTCTGAAAATCTAGCTGTTTTTAAAATAATAAGCACATAAAAATTCACTTTTGCTTCACTATTTGTATTGCGATAATCAAGTCAGTTGTGAAATCCATTTTAAGAATATGCTTTTGAACACATACTAGACCAAACAGAGCCAGTTCATTCACTGTCATTTAGATGCATATCCCTATCTCCTCTTCTCTACTAAGGCTACTGTCTCAATCCCTTTTAATTCCTTAACCTAGTTACTATCAGACCCCATCCCTCACTCTTAGCCTTTTTAAGTACAAAGAAGACAAATTTATTTTTAAATCCCTGTGTATATCTAAATAACATAGGAGCAGAAAGATAAGCAATTCAAATCAGTATGCTTAATTAAAAAATCCAGAATCTTACATTTTAATACTGTTGTAATCATGATATTCCAGATTGTTTGTCTGGTAGTCTAAACCCTCTAGTAAATTTTAAATGTATTACAATTTACGAATTATCAGACCGTATATTTTAGAAAACTAACCCAATATGAAATTTTAAAAAATTAAACATGCATGATCAAGTAACTTATTCACTACTCAAGCATCTTAGAGAAAAGTATAGTGGAAATGATCCTGTGGGGCTACTCTCTTCGGAGATCACTAAGTGAAGAAAGAAATTAAGATGAACTTGTTACCTTTCTTACCAAGTGAAAAATGCAAGTTGCTAACTCTAAAAATAAACACAAACTTTTGAATATAAATATATCTTTATCTTGTAGATAATGTGTGAATGATGTGGTTTGGACTACATATGATAAACTGAGAATCAAATTCAACAGAATAGAAATAGAAATCCAAGCTCCTATGTTTTTTTTTTTTTTTCATTTTTGCTAAAGAGCATGTATGCTTGTCAGAGAGAAACAGAGAGACCTAAAGAGAGAGGAAAAAGCACCCCCATGAGGAATAATCATACCACAATCCCTACCATCTCTCCCTCCTTTCTGGATTTTTACACACACATGCCTGATACATTTCTCAAGCCAGCAGGTCTGGGAATCCAAATGTGCAGTTGGCCATGTGGAATCAACTGCCTTAACCACCAAGCCATGAAGTCAGCCCCCAAGCTCATATTTCAAAAGACATGCATTGACAAAGAAAACATAGCAGGGATTCTTTAAATGTCTAATATGATGAATACAAGGATCTTGACTGAGAGAGAATTTTTCACCACAGGATTAGAAAAGAGAGAGAACATTTACTAATAATGAGTGTACCTTTTGACATTTATAGATAATACGTATGAGTACAAACTGCTCTTGAATAATTTCTCAGAAAAAATATATAATAGAATTATATGTGATAATTCTATTAATTGTTTTAAATCTTGACTACTGATCATTTTTAAATTTTAATTTACATTTTTATAATTTATTTAATTATTTTTAATTTTTGATTTGCCAGGAGGCATGTGTGCTCAACAGAGAGAGACAGACATAGAGAGGAAAAGCAAGAAAGCACTCCCAGGGGTCAGCAGGTGGCATGGTGGTTAAGGCACTAGACTGACAATGGCTGACAATGGTTCAAGTCCTGGACCTGGTGGCTTGCTTTCTAATTTTCTCTCTTTATCTCACTGGTGAGTACATATGCCCTATAACAAATGGAAAACTAACACTAACAACAAATAAATTTTAAAAAAATAAAAATAAATAAATAAAGCACTCTCCACAGGGAATGGTCACACCACAATCCCTTCTCCTTCATGTTGCCCTCCTTTCAGGATTTTGGGTGGGCCCACATACACATGTGTTAGGATGTTTCTTAAGCCACCAGGTCTGGGATTCCACCACACAGTCGGTCGATTATGCAAAATCTAGTAGCCTTAACCATCACACCTCTGGCTGCCCCCTCAACCTTTTAATTAGGAAGAATTCCTGCCTGTTTTGGTTTGATGACATTAACTGTACAGAGTCCAAGCTGTTGTCTTACAGACTATCTTACATTCTAGATTAGTCTAAATTGCCGATGTTAAACATTTTTGGCAAGAGTACTACACTCGTAGTGCAATCAACTCTTACTGAATCACATCAAAGTTCACATCATGTAGGGTACTCCCACTACTGGTGGTTCTGTTGGATGAGTTGGTTAAGGGAACACCAGATCTCTCCACTGTAAAAGTGTATTTTGCCCATTTATGATTAGAAGTAATCTATGAAGTGAACTTTGGCATCATGTAAATAAAATGGATTCTGTTAAAATGTATTTATGTGCTTTTTCCAAAAAGGATTACTTTTTAATTATGAAAAATCTGAACTTCTCGAATTTTCCCACAAGTGATGTCAAATCTGATCATCATCTTTTAAGAAGGCCACTGCCAAATCTCTCTAGTTTAAGTACAATTTCTTCACTTGTAATTAATTAATAATTCATGAGAACATGTAAATATACTATTTTCTAAAAAAACCTTCCATTTGGTGGCTTTTTTTATAATTACATTCTTTTGATTATACAGTAATACTGTGCCCATGGGTAAAGCTACAAATTTAAAGAATTATGACAGTCTATTCCCCACTTTATTATAGACTCCAACTCACACATCTGCAGATCTAAGTTCTGTTAACTTCCTCTTGTATAGTTTTTTGAAGTTTTCAATGTATTTGTGCATATATTTGCATTTCTTTTATCACAAATCATATTATCAAGATATATACTGTCTTACAACTTCATTTTTTCACTTACTGTGTATATATACATACACACACACACACACACACACACACACACATATACTTCCTATTAGTACATATAGATTCATCTCATACTTTTAATAGCTACAGAGAATTCTACTCACAGTTATTTATTTCATTTGTCTCTTAAATGTACATCATTACGTTATTTTTTAAGAGAGATTTTTGCTATAGGGCACATGTGCTTGTCAGAGAGAAAGAAAGACCGAAAGTGAGAAATTACCCCCCATGGGGAATGGTCACACCACAATCCCTTCCCCTCCATTCTCCTCTCGAGATTACTGGGCATGAACACACATGAGCCTGGCATGAGTTTTAAGCCACTGGGTATAGAAACTGAACTGCAGTTGACTATGTGGGAATCCAGTGACGTAACCATTATGCCATCTGCTGGTTTCCATCATTACCATTTTTATTTACAATTTTACATTACTTCAAACAATGCTACAGTAAACACCTCTGTACATAACTTGGTATATTTTGCATGAATACATTTGGAACAGAAATTGCTAGAAACATAATGCTAATGTGTGCATAATTTGTTTTCTTTCTTCAAACTTTCTTTTAAAATTACATTAATTTCTATTGCCATCAACAATGCTATTTCTTATCCTTTCTTTTTCATCAACACTTGACATTAGCAAATTCTTTAATCTTTGCTTTTTTTTTAAATTATTTATTTAATTTATTCATTCATTCATTTTAATTTGACCAGAGAGACAGAGAGATAAAGAGTGAGAAAGCAAGCTGCCAGGTCTGGATCTCGAACCATGGTCAGCCATGTGGGAATTTTAAGCACCTTAACCATCATGCCACCTGCTGGTACCTTTAATCTTTGTTAATATGAGAAGTGAAAGAAACATTAGTAGTTCGCTAATGTTTTAATTTTTATTTTTATAAACAAGAAGGTCAGGGATCTTCTTATGGTTTTATTAGATACTTGAAATAATTTTTTCCTATGAATTACTTACAGTCTATCCTTTTTTCTATAAAATATTTCTGAGAACAATATCTAATATTTTAAGTATATTTGCATTTTTAAAGTGTAACATGTTTGAAGAAATGTATAACAGCTTCATTATAATATTCATAAAATATTATCTTAATTAGTAATATGCACCTAAGATCACCCTTCTTTAAAAAAGCTGTAGATTCTGCTAGTATATACTTAACTTTACTACCTTCTATACACATTTACTTAATTGACCTTTACACTGAGAAATAATAAATGTGCTAAAGAATTTCCTATATTAAAATCTCCTAAATTCCTTTTTTTCTAAATCAAATTTCTGGGGCCAGCAGTTGGCTTGGAGGTTAAGGTAATGGATCCCACATGGCCAAGTCCTAGACCTAGAAGTCTGAAATTCATGCTGGGCATGGGTACATGACTGAGAGGAAACTTGAGGAGAAGTAGCATGGCCATCCCCCTTAGGGAAGATTTCTCACTTTTCCTATCTCTCTCTCTCTTTTCCTCTGGCAAGTATACATGTCCTATAGTTAAAAAAAAAAAAAAAATCACCAGACTAGTGAGAAGCTATTGAAATTAAGAACTAAACATATTAATCCCTAGCTGACACTTCAGAATCATTCATTGCATCCAGGATTTCTCATTCAGTACTAAACCAAGAAGATACTTCCAAAAAACAAGGAAAGTGAAAACCTAAATTAAATCCATTAAAGAGAAAATAGTATGTCTACCTTTCACTATTACATGAGCCACTCTCTTCCTACTTTAAAAATCAATACTGCATATCCCTGGAATAAATAGTCACAGACTAAAGTGTGGTAAGAACTTGCCTGATCAATGTAAAAAGCCGTGCCTGAGCGGATCTCTCGTCGTTGTTTGAGATCAGTTTCAGTGGTGTCCCTTGACAACGCAATGTATTCAACCTCCCGTTTGGTCAGCTCCTGTAGAGCAAAGAATGAATTTATTTCAAAAATAAAATCAAATTCCCAAAATATAGTTTTTAGCAAGTTATCTGACAATGCTACTCTTAGAAAAGAGCAGTTTAAATGTAATTCTGGATTAAAACCTTGGTCTTGACCCCAAATGGCCTTAAAAGATGTCTTCTGCTCTGGCTATGACTAAGCGTAGGCTCTTACATCTACTGACAACAGCACTCCCTGCAGTCTGCAGGGCAGCTTAGGCTCATATTGAGTTTTCATGTTTACTTCCACAACCTATGCTTGCATTGGCTCTTTTTCACAATTTAAGTTGGCGGTATTTTTTAAAGATACAGACTTCAAACAAATCAATTCACACTGCAGTTCTGAACCATCAAGCCTCCTATAATCCCCTAGCTACCCTCATCCCAACACATAAAAGCATTGCCAGAAACAAAATCTCACATATTGTGGCCTTTGAAATGAGCAAAGCAGAGATTAAACATCTGAAGATTAAAGAGTTTTTAGACCTGGGGTTCTCAGAAGCTGATCCTGCATTTTCAGACAAGACAATTTTGCCTTATATGTTGATAAAGTGAAGATAATACCACAGAGGCATTTTATATCTCACAACCTGGTTCTATACTTACATAAAACAAATAAAAGGGAAGGGTTAGTATAAGCTAGATTCTGATTGTCCACTTTATTTTTGTCATTTTTGTACCAGGTGATTTTTGAAGTACTAAGGTAGACTTGCCATTAAAATAAGAGTATATGAAATAGATTTCAGTAGTGTAGAAATCAATCCCTTAACACCAAATAACAGAAGTAGCTCTAAATAAAGTTTTTATCTTCATCCTAAAGAGAGATTTTTGCTATAAAGTGCATGCACTCACCAGAGAGACAGAGAGACTGAGAGACTGAAAGCAAGAAATCATCCGCCTGAGGGGATGGCCGCGCTTCAATCTCTGACATTCTCCTCTCGGGATTTGGGGCAGGCACACACACACACCAGGCATGAATTTAAGCCATGGGATTCGGGACTCAAACCACAGCTGACTACATGGGAGTCCAGCGACGTAACAATTTCGCCATCTGCTAGCATACTGTGATAGCTATCCTCTGATAGCGCTTTCTTGAATCATTTGAACAATGTTTATTAAGGCTTAGAATTCAGTAGAAAAGTCTCATAACTTTTTTTAGTTGGGTTGAGATTTGACATATCAATTCATTTAACAGCAGTTCTCAAGGAACAGCAAACACTTAAGAAGATACTATGTCAGAAAGAGAACACAATATGGGATTTGAAGTCCAACTCCACCATTTACTTGGTGGATAAAGCTTGAGTTAAGAATGAACTTGCTTTCTCATCTAGTTAAAAGGGGGTATAAGAGCATGGAATACATAAGACATGCTCTACAAACCTACGGTTTTCTTTAAAAACTAAATAACATCCATAAGTCAAGGAAATTGTTTGCCTTCAAACAAACAAACAAAAAAATTAATCTGAGATAATGAAATGTTTCCTGAGTAATAAAAAGCTATGTTTCATTTTGTAATCTCAGAGATATTAATTCTATATGCTACTCATTTCCAGAATTTTTCTTTCGTTCCTACTATTAATAAAAATGTATTTTTTCTGGTTATAGCAAAAATTCACTAAAGCTATGAAAGGCAAATGCACATTTGCTTTCCAAATAACTTATACCAAGATATTTTTAAACAAATCATTCCTTGAGGTTAGCATTTATTTCAAGTAATGACTAATTCTGATCATTTTATACATTCTTAATTTTAATTTATTTTATAAAAATACTTATCAAAGTTAAGACCCTTAGGAATTCGTAAGAACTGTATGCTCACCAAGTACTGCATAGCAATAGAACGGCGAAGTGGCCCAGGCGGTCCTATTAGAAAGACATCTTGCCCCAGGAGATCCTTCTGCATTATCCATCTTAGATGCTGAACTACAGACTGAGCCAGAGATTCTGAAACTTTGAGAAAAAAGAAGAGAAAGTTAAATGCAAATTATACTACTACTTACACTAGAAATCTCCAAATAGTGCAGACAGTGTAAGAGAGAGAGGGTGGGAGAGAGGGCATCATGGTGTATGTCCATGCTGTTTTACAACACAACCATTATTATACAACACAGAAATGGGACAAAGTTTGTGATATCACAAAGGGTCACATATCCCATACTTGAAAGCTCATTAAGTACATTTGAACAACCACCTGTGTCCCTAAAAGAACAAAAGCAATTTTCAAGGATGATTTAAAGAATGGTTATCATTCCTTTATCACAATTTTATAGCCCCGCCCTGTTCCAAAAGAGAGATATGGACAAATCATCGCAGATAATTAATGATATCATAGTCTTGAGAAGTTTGAAATATATATTACTGGGGGTCAGAAGGTGGCATGGAGGTTAAGGTGACTGGATCTCACACGACTAACTACATGGTTCAAGTTCTGGACCCAGTGGTTTGGAAAACATGATAGATGCATATGCACGTATACCCAAAATCCCAAGAGGAGAAATGGAAGATAAGGGATTGCAAAATGGCCATGCTCCCCCAGGGGGGGTGTCATTTTTCTTGCTTTCTCCCTTTCTCTCTCCCTATCTATTTCCCTCCAGTGAGTACACATGCCCTATAGCAAACTTAAGTCGAAAACGGGTTGTAAGATCTCCCAAACTTCACTTAGAAAAGTTGATGTATGCCTAGCAGGTAGGTAAAGAATGTCACTTCTTGATAAGCTCAAAAAGACTTTCAAGTACAGATAGCTAAAGGTACAGATAGTGAGTTCCTGACTTAGCTTAGTAGCCTTAGAAGGTTTTTAAAATATTTTCATCTGGGACCAGCAGTTAGCATAATGGCTATGTCACTGAACTCCCATGTAGCCAACCGCGGTCCGAGTACTGGACCCAGTGGCTTAAACACGCCAGGCGCGTGTGTGTGCGTGCCCAAGATCCCAAGAGGAGAATGGAGGAGAAGGGATTGGGGCGTGGCTATCCCCCCGGGGGTGATTTCTCGCTCTCTGTCTCTGTCTGTCTGGCGAGCACACACACCCTATAGCAAAAAAAAAAAAAAAAAAAAAAAAAAAAAACCCTCAAAAAAAAAAAAGTTTAATCTGAAGTTTCTTATAAAAGGTTCTGGGACCAGCAGTTAGCATAATGGCTATGTAGCTGGACTACTACGTAGTCGGTCGCGGTTCACATCCTGGACCCGGTGACTTAAAACTCACACCGGGCGCGTGTGCCTGCGTGCCCAAGATCCCGAGAGGAGAATGGAGGAGAAGGGATTGCAGCATGGCCAT